CAACCTCCGCCTCCAGGGTTCAGGCAATTCTCCTGCCTCAACCTCCTCAGTAGCTGGGATTACAGGCACGCGCCACCATGCCCAGCTAATATTTTGTATTTTTAGTAGAGACGGGGTTTCACCATGTTGACCAGGATGGTCTCAATCTCTTGACCTCATGATCCACCCGCCTCGGCCTCCCAAAGTGCTGGGATTACAGGCTTGAGGCACCGCGCCCGGCGAAAACAAACTATTTAAAAAGTAAAGCTAAGATTCACTTTTCGTCTCTTTTTTTTTTGAGACCGAGTCTTGCTCTGTCATCCAGACTGGAGTGCAATGGTGTGGTCTTGGCTCATTGCAATCTCCACCTCCTGGGTTCAAGTGATTCTCCCACCTCAGCCTCCTGAGTAGATGTGATTACAGGCACCCACCACCACGCCTCACTAATTATTTTTAGTAGAGAAGGGGTTTCACCATGCTGGCCAAGCTGGTCTTGAATTCCTGACATCATGATCTCCCCGCCTTGGCCTCCCAAAGTGCTAGGATTACAGGTGTGAGCCACCCCGGCCTGTCTTTGAAAAATAAACCTCGGCTGAGCGCGGTGGCTCAAACCTGTAATCCCAGCACTTTGGGAGGCCGAGGCGGGCAGATCATGAGGTCAAGAGATCGAGACCATCCTGGCCAACATGGTGAAACCCCGTCTCTACTAAATACACAAAAATTAGCTGGGCATGGTGGCGTGTGCCTGTAGTCCCAGCTACTCGGGAGGCTGAGGCAGGAGAATTGCTTGAACCCGGGGGGCGGAGGTTGCGGTGAGCCGAGATTGTGCCACTGCACTCCAGCCTAGCACCTGGTGACAGAGTGAGACTCTGTCTCAAAATAAATAAATAAATAAATAAATAAATAAAATAAATAAAACAAAAAAATAAACCTTAGGACGGGTGTGGTGGCTCACACCTATAATCCCAGCATTATGGAAGGCTGAGGTGGGTGGATCACCTGAGGTCAGGAGTTTGAGATCAGCCTGACTATCATGGAGAAACCCTGTCTCTACTAAAAATACAAAATTAGCCAGGCATAGTGGTGCATGCCTGTAATCCCAGCTATCTGGGAGGCTGAGGCAGGAGAATCACTTGAACCCAGGAGGTGGAGGTTGCAGTGGGCCACGACTGCGCCTCCACATTCCTGCTTGGGCAACAGAGTGAGACTCCATCTTAAAAAAAAAAAAAAAAAAAAAAAAAAAACTGTTGGGTTGGAGGTGGTGGCACATGCCTGTAATACTAGCATTTAAGAGACACCAAGGTGGGAGGATTGCGTGAGCCCAGGAGTTAGAGATCAGCCTGGGCAATATAGCAAGACTCTATCTCTACAAAAAATTTAAAAAATTAGCCTGGTGTGGTGGCATGTATTTGTAGTCCCTTCCAGGTACGGTGGAGGCTGAGGTGGGAAAATAGTGTGAGCCTAGGAGTTTGAGGCTGCCGTGAGCTATGATAGCACTATTGCACTTCAGCCTGGGTGACAGGGTAAGACTCTGTATCAAAAAGAAAACTGTGTTGTTTTTTTTTTTTTGAGATGGAGTCTTGCTGTGTCGCCCAGGCTGGAGTGCAGTGGTGTGATCTTGGCTCACTGCAACCTCTGCCTCCCAGGTTCAAGCGATTCTCCTGCCTCAGCCTCCCGAAAAGCTGAGACTATAGGCATGCACCACCATGCCTGACTAATTTTTTTTTTTTTTCCTTTTTAGTAGAGATGGGGTTTCACCATGTTGGCCAGGCTGGACTCAAACTCCTGACCTTGTGATCTGCCCACCTGGGCCACCAAAAGTGCTAGGATTACAGGCGTGAGCCACTGCGCCCAACCAGAAAACGGTTTTTTTTTTTGGAGATGGAGTTTTGCTCTTGTTACCCAGGCTGGAGTGCAATGGCGCGATCTCGGCTCACCGCAACCTCCGCCTCCTGGGTTCAAGCAATTCTCCTGCCTCAGCCTCCTGAGTAGCTGGGACTACAGGCACGCGCCACCATGCCCAGCTAATTTTTTGTAGTTTTAGTAGAGACGGGGTTTCACCATGTTGACCAGGATGGTCTCGATCTCTTGACCTCGTGATCCACCTGCCTCGGCCTCCCAAAGTGCTGGGATTACAGGCTTGAGCCACCGCGCCCGGCCCAGAAAACGGTTTTTAAAAGCAGCCTGCTCCTTCCCAGAAGCAATGATCTTTTGGCATGCAGTAGCTGGAAAAAGAATCTTCCATGTACACAGCTACAGCCAAGCAGGATCCCAGCTTTTTAAAATTTATTATTATTATTTTGAGATGGAGTGTTGCTGTCACCCAGGCTGGAGTGTAGTGGCGCAATCTCAGCTCACTGCAACCTCTGCCTCCTGGTTCAAGCGATTGTCCTGCCTCAGCCTCCTCCCAAGTAGCTGGGATTATAGGAGTGAGCCACTGTGCCGGGGCCAAAAATTTATTTTATTAATTTTTTTAGAGACAAGGTTTTGTTCTGTGCCCTAGTCTAGAGTGCAGTGGTGTGACCATAGCTTACTGTAGCCTTAAAGTCCTGGGCTCAGCCGGGTACGGTGGCTCACGCCAAAAATCCCAGCACTTTGGGAGGCCAAGGCAGGTGGATCACCTGCAGTCAGGAGTTTAAGATCAGCCTGGTCTGAAACCCCATCTCTAGTAAAAATACAAAAATTAGCCAGGTGTGGTGGTGTGCGCCTGTAATCCCAGCTACTCAGGAGGCTGAGGCGGGAGAATCGTTTGAACCCGGTAGGCGGAGGCTGTGGTGAGCCAAGATTGTGCCATTGCACTCCAGCCTGGGCTACAGAGCGAGACTCTGCCTCACAAAAAAAAAAAAAAAAAAAGTCCTGGGTTTAAGTGATCCTCCTGCCTCAGCCTCCTGAGTAGCTAGAACCATAGGCACGTGACAACATACCAGCAAAATGCCAGCTTTTAAAGCAGAAGGCTGGAGGGCAGCATCTCCATGTGCCCAGGAGTACATGCTCTTGCCCCATTCCTGATCACATGTCCTTGGGGCTGAGATGCCCTGGGTGAATTGCTTAACCTCTCTGAGTCTCAGGCTTTCCCCTTTATATTGGGGGTTTCACCAGAGGAGCTCTACAGTCACACTAGACTCCCAAACCCTTTGATCTGCTTCTGTGAGTGCTTAAGGCAGAGGGACATGGGTGAGGTCTGGTCTTGTTTGTTAGACTCCATCTTCTAGTAAGGAACAGAAAATCAATTTTATTTATTCATTTATTTGAGACAGGGTCTTGCTGTCTCCCAGGCTGTAATGCAGTAATGTGATCACGGCTCACTACAACCTGGACCTCCTGGGCTCAAGCCATCCTCTTACCTCAGCCTCCCAAATAGCTGGGCCCATGGGCCCACGCCGCCATGCCCAGCTAATTTTTGTATTTTTGGTAGAGACAGGGTTTCGCTGTGTTGGCCAGGCTGGTCTCAAACTCCTGACCTTAAGCAATCCACTTGCCTCGGCCTCCCAAAGTATTGGGATTACAGGCATGAGCCACTGCGCCCGGCAAGAATCAATTTTGATGCAAAATTTACAACATATTTTTGTACACTGGCTTCAGAATAACAATTTTCTACAATCAGCTTTGGAATTAGGGAGGCGAATGGTTTCTTTGTTTTGATTTGTTTTGTTTTTTACCTTCCAGTATGGCTGTCTCCTCTTGCTTTTTGTCAAGCACTAGTTGCTCCATTTCTTTCCTCAGATCTTCCTGATTTAGGTTACAGGCATCGAAGGCATCACTGACAAACTCAGAAACACCTGGGCTAGTAGAAATGTCTTCCTCATCCTGAAATGCAACAAATGAGCTCTTGAAATGGTTTGCCAAGTGACATTTGTGTTATTCTGGCTTGCGGTTGTCTCACAATTTAATGCAGTGCTATTTTCATTTCTTTTCTCTGTGAGCTGAAAGACAATGAGCACTGCTCTCCAACCTTCTTAACTTGCAGTTGCCTGGTAACTACAAGAATTACCACCTGAGGCTATTATTCTCACAGCTTGAATCACTCCAACGTTCTTTCCAATCCCTGATGAGCACAACTAGAATTACCTATGCCAGTAAATCGCCCTCAAGTCTCAGCCATAGTTCCCTGACTATTCACGTACCAGATGCTGCTTCTTCCAAACCCATATTGATACATAGTTTTAAATGGTATCAGAAATAGTTAACACAGTTACTTTATTTCCAGATATCAACTACTAGGTACAATGCAAAACTGTATTACCTCTTGAGTTTTAAGCTGAGATTTGATTACAACGGGTGGCGTTTTGGGCCGTACTGCCTCTAAGAAGTGAGAATAAGAGAGACAATAATTGCTTGGTTCAGTTCTGAATACATATTATAATCACAGTAAAATATCCACAAGTATTTTGATACTAAATAATTTTCAGAAATGAATTTTTATGTTATGCTTTCAGCTTTTCTTAAGTTATAAGAAACAGCCAGGGTGAAACCATCTCAATCTCTTACTTTGGGGCTATTTTTATCTATCTATCTATCTATCTATCTATCTATCTATCTATCTATCTAT